AAAAAAAAAAAAAAAAAAAAAAAAAAAAAAAAAAAAAAAAAACCAAGATCGTAATAAAGATGTAATCAAATAAGAATCTAGTAGTCCACTATTAGGGAGATGGTAGAAATGGTCCAGACTGACGTCTCGTTAATCAGTCTTGGAAGAGACTTGGGGCTACATAGGTAGTTGACACATGATGAACGGTTTGAATCTTTGTGTCCTACATAGAAGCTCAATTGGTTATAAGAATAGGCTCAAACTTCCTAAAGCCAGATAGATGAAAACTTATTAAGAAATGGATGCTTATAAGTATTTATATACCCACCTTTTTCTCCTTTTCTTTTTCAAGTATCGGTCTAGAGGAGTGTTCGAGAGCTGTGCGGTCACAGAAGAGTTGTTCTGGAGCGTCAGTCCATCTTGTACATGAGTCTTGTACTTCATTTTATAACTGTATCCCAAACTCATTTCCCGTTTTTGATAAATTTGAGCAACATCGTCCTATAATTATACATAATTTTGTACTTTAACATGGTGTTGTTCGATTTTATTTTGATTTTAGTTTTACTGCATTTTCTTATTTTATTTTACTTTTTGTTTTTATTTTTATTTGTTTTCACTATCATCCTTTTAGTCTCGTTAGGATTTCGAAGATTTAAAATTTGAGTTATGACATATAGTCGATAGAGAATTCAAGTGAAAGTGTTACCCGACTCATAATTTGTGAAAGATTATATATACTGAAAAAAAACTTTATTCTTCCTCTATCAAGTGTTGATGAAAGAATATTCTAAAGTGGTGGTTGATTGATGATGACTAGTACAAGTTGCCCAAAAAATATTCGTGGAGACCTATTAGGAATTAGTACAAATAAATTGTTTATGAAATATTTTTATATTCAATCCCTTTATTTTTTTTCTTTTTCAAATATTCGTCGATGTGGGGAGTGTTCAAGAGTTGTGTGGCTACCGTGCGGGTTATTTCGGAACGTCAATTCATTATTTTTTATTTGAGAATTTTGTATTTTGATTTATAATTGTACCAACTTGCTTGGTGAACACAACATTATCTTATGTTTGGTTTTTATTTTTATTTAATTTAACTTTTAGGTCAATTTATTATATTTTAATTTTCATCTATTTTTGGTTTTGTCGTTGTAGTGTCAATCTAGGTTTCCAAACTTTGAAATTTGGATCGTGACATTTTCTAATTTCTTCTGATTTTCATATCTAGTAGTTCAATTCAACTGGGTTCTTTCGCTAAAATGAAAGAGTTTTAATTCAACTTTGAACAAATTTAACTTCATTAGGTTGGTCGGACTCCTTAAAGAAATAAACTCATTCAAAGTAGGCTAAAACAAAACTTATAGTTCTTCTGGGTTGATCTCAAAATATTTTTAACTAATTTCATAAAGAAACTCGCAAATCTAAAGAAAAACTAAACTTAAACGGTGTAATCCTTTCCCCTTAATCTTCTTTGTTTCTTGATGAATTTGGATGACTCAAACGTCTATAATGAATCTCATCAAGAATTTGAGTCGAAAGAACTAAGTGACAAGATCAAAGTGTCTTTGATAACTCTATACTTTTTTGTTAGTAATTTTTGTAAGCGTTTTTCTCTTCTGTCTCACATTGAAATTCGGGCTCAAAGATTCTCATTAAACCGTAAACAAACGTCTAACAAAAAAAAAAAAAAAAACGGAATGGAATAAGGCATCATAGATGATTATTATTTCTTGCAATTAAGCATTAGAAGTACATAATATAAGAACATTAAGATCATATTTCAATAGCCAAGCCAAGATGGGTTGGTTTTAGTTCAGTTTTTGCAAAGGTAATCATCAACGCCTTTGCTGACTTTAGCCACACATAGGAGATAGTTATGTGGTGGAGCCACATCTTCATTTGCCTTCACATACTCTATGGACCAATTAGCTGAGCTCCCATTGCTACCATTCTCAACAACTTCAATTTTCATTTGAAATACTTCAAAATCTCTTAATAAATCTCCTTCCACCCACTCGAATGTTAATGATTTGTTAGCATCATCCATACTTAGCCTCTCAATCACCTCAGATGGACCATCTAAATTTAAGCATATTGTAATTGGTTAACTCTAAACAATACAAAATCGATTAAAAAGATGATAAAAAGATACTTACCAACAATATATTTTAAGTAGATGACGCTGCCATGAGCGTAACCATTTCCTTCCACAACCTTCCAGCTCTTATAAATTTCAGGGAACATTTGAAACACAAAGTCCATTTTGTTCTTAAGGAATTCATAGAACTTGTGACCAGAAGATCTAAGCTGCACCTCGTGTGAGACCTTAGCAATTTGAGCCATTTTTTCAAGCTTTTGAAGTAGCTTCAAATATGCTCATTCATGGTCATTGGAGGGGCCTTTTTATAGCCAATTATAGCAACAAAAAAAAAAAGTGGTGCTGATGTGCATCTTTGTTCTTTCTTTTTTCAGTATGATTTCCAAAAAAAAAGCATCTCTCAATATGGTCATTAAAGAGCTAAGATTCGAGTCCCATTATTTATTTATATATATATATTCCATTTAGCTCTTAGTTGTAGGGGAGATTGTGTAAATTGCAAGTGGGAAAATATGAAGCAATGAAGCTATTTTAATTGAGGAAATTTGAACGATAACGGAAACAAAATAGATTTATGTAAAATTAGACACGTTTTAAAACAGTGAGACTAACAGTGATGTGTAACAGGTTAAATAAAATAATATTTATTAAGGTTGTACTATTACAAATAGTATTAGAGCTTAGTAAACGAGTTATAAAATTGTGAGACTGATAACGATACGTAATAACGAATCAAAGCGAACAATATCTTCTAAAGTAGGCTTAAGCAGTTATAGATACTCAACTAAATAAGTGACAACTGCTATGGAAATCTTGAGAAGATGCATTACAATTAGTGATGACCAACTAAAAGCCTTGGTCATGAAATAAAAGGGTTCCTTTGAGAGTTAGAGTTCTTCTCCATTGACGCGTGTATACCGGTTGCTCAAACACGTCGTTCCTCCCGCTAATTGACATGTGGGTACCGAAAAATTTTCTTTCTCCTCCTAGAAATCGTAATGTAGGATTCGATTAATATTTTCTTCTCTTCTCATTTTCATATCTTTTAATCTAAACTTCAAATCAATTCATTTTTTCGGTAAAGTTGTAGATCCTAATTTGACAATGTCCTAATATTTTTTTTTCTTTAATTTTAATCCAACATAGACCCATTTATGGACATCGAAAGTAGGTACGTTCACTCTTACCATTTTTTAAATGAACTCTCGAAGCAGCAATTTCCAGCCATAGTTCCAACCAAGTTCCTTCACAAAACCTGTGGAGAATACTTTTGAGAAGAATATATCAAAATCTCATACCTTAACTCGTAAATAACTTGGATTTGAGGAAAAATCATGAAAGATTAACTTGTGGATCTTCTCGGTTCTTGACGGAAAATGAAGCTTCAGTCACTCAAATCTCCTTCCTTCTTACGACGAGTTCTTGCCTCAAAATCGTGGCTGCAGGTGACTTCCGACGGTGATCCATGAGTTTTCCGGCGATTCTTCTTTCTCTAGGTTCTCTCAATCCCCCCTCTCTTTCTTTTTAGCAGGTTCTTTGATAGGGTTCCACTTGGACCTCTACAGTATGCCTCTCTTTTGACTTTGACCTATTTTTTTAAGCCTGTTTTCCCTTTTATCATAACTCTAATTTTCTCAATAAAATCCTAAATACTAAATTTAAAAAAAAAAAAAAAAAACATAAGAGATGAAATTAAAAACTTCAAATGATTTAAGAACAAATTAAACAAAAAAAAAAAAAAAAAAAAA